CCCGGGGCGGCGGAGAGCGGGAGAGAACGGATGCGGCCGAGCGCCCCGGGCAGCGCTGCTCCCCGCGTCGGGAAGGCGTAAAGAAACAAATAAAAACTCTAAAAATCTTTTATAGCATTTTTATTGGGAATAAGCACTTGGAAATGGTTTGATTATATCCTCCAGCATCACGTTCCGTCCCTCAACGCTTCCCCTCAGAACCCTGAGGTCAAAGTGGGCAGAGGAAGCAGACCGGTTCTCCCTCAGGCTCCGAAGTAATGCAGGCAACCATGAGACTGCATAGAAACGGTTTATTATATTTCTTTGAACAAAGTAATTAACATAAGGCATTCTGGGTTACATGTAAACATCGAGGTCAGTGGTATGTTCTCTCCTGCAGAGTGGCTGGGGGATAGATAGCAACGGCAGCAAAGTCTTTTATTTCTGCTTTAACACAGTGATCTATGTCAAGTGTAAATACCAATTCAAAGTTACATTAACATTTTAACTTTTGTTTCTTTGCTAAGAACGTGGCTTCTCTGGAGAAGAGATCTGATTCGGAAAAGCGAGGAGGGCTACATTCAATATAACAGCATCAAGCCTGAAAGTGACAGACTCAAAAACTGCCTGTCACTACCAGAAATGCTGGAACCCAGAGAACTGCTCTGTGTCATCCAAAGACATTTAAACTGAAAGTTCATTAAATATGCTCCTGCATATGAGTATAGACTTTTTTTTAAATAGTGTCACTTCCTTGAAAGAATACAATGCACCACATTTATTTTACTTACATCCTGATGTCTGATTTGTTACATATATATATTAATACAAAAGGATTTTGGAAGGCTTTCCAAAGTAGTAAGCATCTGCCCTACTTGTCACTGACAATGTCTCTAGCGATAAGCTCTTTCATTATTTCATTGGTACCACCATAGATTGGCTGAACACGGGCATCCACGAAAGCTCTGGGAAAACAAACAAACCAAGGAAAGATTAGAAACAACTCTTCAGAATGGACATACAAGCAAAATAAAAAGGTATCAAGTTTTATCTCTGAACACCACTTTTTTCAAAGTACACTATTCCCCTTTTTCAAGAAGTTCACGTTTTCAAAGAGGCTTCAACTACGTAAAATATTTCACCTTTCCAAGGTACTGAGGCATTTGGGTCAGTATCTTTTCCCTGGTGTTTTGTTTACATTGTAAAGTCCCCACTATCCCCCCTAATTAAACAAAAATGAAATAAAGCTCCATAAAACCAGCCTTCTGCCACTTTGCTCCTCCAATCCTTCTTCCCATCACCTGAGCGTTAACTCAGCTCGTGACACCAAAGCCCCCATTCGCCCACCGCACACCCCCTGCAGAACAGCACGCCTACACCAACTGCAACGCTCAGGTGCCTTATTGTTGTGAAAAAACAACTCCTGCAGAGCCAACCTGATAATTATCCCGCTAATTTCTCTAATGCCTTGGCCTGTCTGATCCTGTCAAGAAGACTGCTTAACGGTGCTGTCAGTTCTTTCTTTGAGGTGAGATTCAAACACCTTGGCAGGAACAGAAAGTGCCAACTGGTTTCACATCAGCTGGCTACAGCCTTCTACTGACACCAGCTCCAGCAGCCGAAAAGCTGCATGCAGCCAAACCATTTCCATCTCCATGCTAGAACCGGCCCTAGTATGTGCCTAGCTGGTGACAGCACACAGGACGATGACGGTGTGCTTTTCCATCTTAATTCTGCTTCGTTACACAGAGAGTAGCCCAGGAGCAATACGGCATTCTCTGGAAACACACATGTTGCCAAACCACGGGGATAATAAAATCCTGTATGGACAACTACTGCGCACAGATAAGCAGGGGCTCGAGGACACCCTGAACAGGGCTTGCTGGCCTTCCTGTTTAGTAAGGCTGGGTGCAGAGCACTCAAAAAAAGCATGCAGGAAAAAGTTACTTTAAAGCAACGTTTCATACTCTTAGTGTATTTACAATATAAAAATCTGAACCCAGTCAGTTAAAAAAAGTTAAAGTTACCTGCTTATAAAACTGCACAGTAATCCTGTTTGGGCTATTTCTACTATAAGATTACCTCCTCTTTAAAAACAACCAAACAAACAAAACCACCAAAAAAACCCCACAAATACCTAAAGCTCTACTTATACTAGTGTGGCAAATGGCATGTACACAAAAGGAAACAAATATTCACACATAATATACAAGGAAATGAGAAGATTCCGTAAGTGTCCCTAAACTGATAAAGTAAGCAAAAAAATTGGGAATGGCAAATTCCTCTCTACATATGAATCTCCTGGCTTTTTCATTTAAAAAGGTGTAAAAAGCTGAACTGAACGTAGCCAGTCATGCTCCTGAGAAGGCGATTTGTTCTTCTGTGGTATTACAAAAGATTTAGGCTGACCAACATGTTTTCCTTCCTTCATATGCATGCATTTAATATCAGATAAAAAATACAAACTAGCTCCCCATATTTTCACTTTCACATTGCTTCTCTGGTTTTTTCAATTTACATCTTCTTCCAGAAAAACAACTTCTATTTTGTGAAAAACAGATAATTGCTCAATAGCTTATGAATTATTTGGAGAATCAAAACAAAGCCCTCCTGCACACATCCGTACAATGAATTGTCTCTGAGTAAACACGATGTGAAAAAGAACAGTCAATCAGTACTAACACAAAGCAACTGACAAGGAGATGTAAAGGAAGTGCCTCATTTTGCTGATAATCTTTCAGCGTTCAAGTCTGAAATGTTACACTTACTTTGCGATTGGATACTCCCACATGTACCCCCATCCTCCGTGCAGCTGCACGCACTGAGTGGCTATGCTGTTTTGGAGGTCAGAAGACCTTAAATGGTAAAAAAGAAAACTGTTTTTCAGAAGGATGTTATTCTGTGAAACATGAGTGGAGATAAAGATAAGGTAGCAGGACGAAAATATAACCAAACCTTTTACTCTACGTAACTGATCTCGATACAATCTCTTAACAAAGAACTGTTAAATTAAAAAACTGTACAAGAGGTTTGAAGCAAAATTAATTTGAGATAGTCTTCTGAAACAGAAGGAAATAAACCAGTTCTACCTTTGACCATTTTCTAGACCATCTAAGTTGTTAGGGAACTCCACCAGGGAAAGGGGAAATCCACAACGAAGTGTGGCACTAACACCTGCGAGGGCCCTTCCAGGCAACCAGTGCCAGCAGCAGCACTCCATCAAAATCCTCCCTTCCACTGTAAATATTCTCTCTGGATTTCCTTAGTATTCTCTGCTCGTTTCCTCTAGAATTTTGAAAATAAGTCTAGAATCTGCAAGCCTCTGCATCCTCCATAAAATTACTTGTTCATGTCTGATGTGTTTTTTTCTCCCATCTTCTCAAGCAAAAACGGAACTATACAAATTAAGGTGCCACTATCTTAGATGTGTACACTCATCCAGCTTTCTCTGGTTAAACCTTAAGTTAACAGGTAACACCACCAAGTACAGGGAGAGGGAGAAGTAGTTCTGGCCAACAAAAGAAAGAACTGTTTAGTCTCCGTTACAGCAATAGCTGCAGACAACTACTTCTTCCCAAAACGAGGTAACTTCAAAACCAGCTACTGCTAAGTAACGTTAACTAAAAAGTATCATACAGACTTCAAACAAAACTATAATTAAAAAAAACAAAAAACACCAAAAACCCAACAAACACTTCCATTAAAACAAAACAACCCACAAACCAAACAAAACCAAAACATTCAGCAACAGTTTACTACAGTAAAATGTAAATGTTTTTCTAAATACCAATGAAATACTCACTTTTACTTGAAGCCGAGTCCTGATCTTACTGCTATGACAACCTATTTTAAAAGCATGCTACTTCTTCAAGATTGATCTGTTCAACCAACACTGGTTTCCAATGCAACTAAGTTTTTGTTGATTGAAGCTACAGCTAGTGGTTTCGATGAGTAGCTGACAATGTTGTTATTCATCAGATGGCAATTTTCTCTTTTCATTAGATCTGATCTTTTCATTAGTGTTTTTATCATTAGACTCCTGTCAAGATCATGCAAGTAAAACTTCCAAATGACATTAACCACATACCAATACTTCGCCATGGAAGCTGTGGAAGAGTCCAAGCGTTTGTCTGCATGCAGCTGCAAACAGTTGTCCATAAAAGCTCTGCCCACGCAAATCTGTGTTTTCATTTCTGCCAACTTGTGCTGTACTGTCTTATTTTGCAAGTGGATGGAGGAGGCAAGGAAAGAGCAGAAGAAATACAGGGGTTTTGTGACATTTGAAGCAGAAAATGGAGCATTTTGTAAAACAAAACAACTCATAAAGCCAAACAACTTTGGCTCTATACATCAGAAGGCAACTTGCTTTCCATACAATTACGTCCTTACCAGTCTTAGAGAAAATTACTGCTCTTTACTTCTCAAACCAACTCAAAGCATGACCTCAAGAGAAAAATCCTGAGTGCACAAATTCCTGGAGAGCAGAGCTGGCAGCACTGGGTACTCTGTCATTCCCAGCTCCCTCTTGTGGGGGAATGTCCTTTCACTCTGCAGAGCCACTAACTTCTGCAGTTATTAGTAACATGAATGCATCGGCTGGATGCATTTTCCTACGTATTCAGCTCTTCAGAGTTTAAGTTGTATGCAAAGAGACACAAGCAAAACCAGAGGAAATTACAGACTATCAGAAAGCTTTCCAACACTGAGTTACTTCACATTGGAAGTTTCTAGACCGAAGATGGACTGAAGTCCATCGCTAAAGTTACACATAAAACCAGGCTAGGCAAGCATTTGACTGTCTTCTTTTAATGCTGGTATGGAGGGGATAAAAACACCGCCCATTAACCAAGTTTTTTCTGCTCTCACAGTTCTAGAACTGTATTTTAAAATTCTTCTAGCTTCTCTTGACAATAAATATAATTGACCAGTCTACTATTATTACAAAGAAAGGGTTTATTTCAAACACTGTACTGTGGCATGACTAAATGAATTAGGCAAGGGAGAGCTCTAATTAGAAAGGACTTTTGATTATATGCTCATGAGCAAAAAAAAAAAAAAGGAAACTGAAAAGGCATGCAAGAACAGATTATTTTGGCAAAAATAATGTATTTTATGAAGTTTATTGGCCACTCGGTGGCTGGCAGTGGGTTAGCTTAAAAACAATTATTTTGGCGGTCTCTGCACAGTAAACGACACTTAGGAAGTAACCCTTACCTAAATGAAAAGAAGGGAAAATGCAATTCTTTTGTTAAAGCTGCACACTGCACATACTAAATTCCATCTGGAATTAATGGATTTCCGAATGTTAACTTTAAAAACAGATGAAGACCATCATTTCCTGAGAGATAACCAGCATTCCAGCCTCTAAAGGGTCCAGTTCTGCTGCTATTAACAATTAAAGATTTGATTTTGACAAAGGAAGCCCCAAGACCTTGAAACTGATTTTTAAAAGTATTTCAGAAGTATATCTAACAACATAATAATAATTAAAAAAAGGCAGCCAACATCCTCTAACCCACATGAGCCACTTCTGTCCTATAAACCAAACACGCAGGAGCTTGGTCTGCTTCAGCTGCAACAGCTGATGTCGTTTTCAGGAAAATTGTAACTGGAAAGCAACATCTGCTTTGTGACTGCAAATAAAGAGCAGAGGCATAAACGGCTCAAAACCTAATTAACTACCACTGTCAGGCCTAAGGTATGCTCTCAATGACCCTACAATTTTAAATGCAGTCACTTAAACACCCAGCTAGCTGCTAGCTGAGACATCTCATCACAACACCCATACAGCTGAACACAAACACCTCCGCAGGCATTCAGGCAGCACGGTCGCTGCTTGGGAGGCCCCACGAGCATCAGCCTCCAAGTTCATTTGTCTACAATGCACTATGTGTAGAGGAACGGAGTACCTGCACACGCACCAAGCTCATCTGCAGTCTGTGGGACTCCAGGCAGATACAGAAATAAAAGCAGGTGTAACAGACTAGGATTAGGAGCTCTGGCAGTAAAACGCAAGCCTAAGAGCAACAAGGTATTTTTCCTTCAGCAGCAGCAAAAAGACACTATAGTTTCCGTCTGCCTATTTTACCTCCCAGCAGTGCTGCATGTGGAGGTATCTATCTGAATCGTAACACACATAAATTACAGCTTTAGTGGTGTTGGTTTTATTATTTCTGGGTCTTTTTTTCATACGTGCATGTTGGGCACGGAAGCAAACAACAGCCACAGTCCAACAGTGAAACTTGTGCCAACAGTTCTTTGAAAACAGCCCAATATTTTCATCTGCTCACTATTCCACATACACAGATGTAAAGCAGATGCACACTGCAATCTGTATACAAGTCTCTCAGTTCACACTCACCTGTAAGTGTGCAATTGTCTTCCCAAAAGCTTTTCTTTGCCTCACATAATTCCTTGTTTCTTCAAACATGAATTCACAGCCAGCAAGAGCCATATCAGCAATTAACAGTCTTTCCTTTTGAAACACAAATTACAGACTCTGGTTGAATTAGTCCTACATTTCTCAGTATCAGATGCAAGTAGGTTCATGCCCAATTGGGAAACAGATGTTTAGTGCTGTTCATTAAGGGAGCAGGCAGAAGTCACGCTAAGAATCAAACCAGACACACTGCATTACTCCACCGAACGAGTGGGACAAAGGCCCTGCTGCCTGAAGCTCACTTTTAAGTCTTTAATGAGGTAATGTTCTATCACAACAACCACCTAAAAAGTAGCTACAAATCAACTGTGGGACTGCCACTGACTGAAAAGTTCACATTGAATTCTGTTTCAATTATTGGTTTTCACTGCTCAGTTTAAACAGTAACAACTGTATTCAGCAGTTTCAATAGGACAATTCTAGAAAAACAAAACCTACAAAAAACCCCCAAAACCAACCCTGCTGTTTTTTCCTTCCTTATAACATGCTGGAAAATGGAAACCAAGCACAGAACAATTACTTCTAGCACCACTGAAATCTGATGCACTGTGTTGAAACTGTTCATGAGTGCATCTATCTCCTCAAAGCAGGAAAAGACTTCCTTTGATCGGGTTTCATATTTACTCACACCATCAAATTAAATAAACATGATCACTACCAGATGAGGCAAATACGATGTCATAGTTTTGACAAAGCACAGCCACATTTTGAAAAAACCACACTGCCTCTTTGTCCTCCCAAATACTTCCCAAACTTTGTAAACTCAGTTGTAAACTGTTACTTTCACTAGCAAGGTATTTTGGCAACTAAGCAATTTCCTTGCTTTGCTATATGGACCAGGAAAGAGCTCCTTTTATCTTCAATATGCTTCTGCTGGTAGAAGACTAGAACAGCAGTGCTTGCTTGTTTCTTTACAGAGAATGCCAAATGCATCAGAGACCTCCAAACCATATTTAATTTACTAAGCAAAACGGCTCCATGCCAGAAGTACAAAAGAAAACTGTGGTATGTGCTTTTAAATACACTGCTCTAAGCACAGGTTCTTCAGTAGCTGGGTTGTTGACTAAGAGATCTGGTTTTGAGCTAGGGGGATATCAACATTTTTACCAATGCCCAAAGAACTGTGCTTTTAGCACTAGAAACTGTACTTCAGTTAAAAAGCAGCAGTATCAACAGTGTTGCTTATACTGAGATTCTGAGCCCAAGGTAGCTCCCTGTGATACACAGCCTTCAAGAATAAGGTAGATTCTTGCAATGACAAAAATTGTGCCTGTGTTCTTCCTACAGACAGCACACACTCACGTTCCTCTTACCTGAGGGAGCTCTGCCATCAGGTAATAGAAGCCTTTGTTCTCTTTTCCAAGTAAGGCACTGGCTGGCAACCGCACGTCTTCAAAAAACAGCTCTGCTGTATCCTAAGGGGATTTTAAATGCAGCAGTTTACAGCCAGACATTGTCATCTCTTCATCCCACCTCTTTTGCCCCATATTTTCTTGCTATTGTACACTTTAACTTGAAATCTTAGTATCATTTAGGTTGGAAGGGTCCTCCAAAGGTCATCCAGTTTACATCCCTCCTACTCAAAGCAGCTCCAAGCAAAGCAAGCAGGTGCAGGCCTTGTTCAGTTATGCTTTCCAAAGCTCCTAAGATGAAGGCTCCACAACCTCTCTTGGCCTCTGTTCCAGTATCTGATCACTTTTATGGTGATTTTATTTTTCCTTGGTATCTACTTAGAATTTTCCTTTCCAGAAGCTACAGCCTCTGTCCCTTGCCACTCTCACTGTGCTCCTCTAAGAGGAATCTGGCTCCATCATCTACAGTCATTCATTAAGTGGCTAACGACACCAATAAGATCTTGTCCTTCCAGACTTCTTCACAGTGAAGAAATTCAGTTTCCTCAGTCTCTCCTTGCACATCACATGCTTCAGACTTCCATAGGCAAACTCAGCATATATACTTAGCATGTGTATCATTTGTGCTCTAAAGCCTAAGAAGTAGAATAGCACCACGGTTCCTTTCAATGTTTATTTAGCTAATGCCAGGCATTATGTGGTTTTAGACTTCCTCAACATCTATCACGTGTTAGGGGTTGTATGAACTCACTTGAGCTTTCAGGCCAATTTTGTGCAGCTTGCGTCCTTTGATGAAACCTTTTGTTCCGTTTTCCACCAGGAAAAGGCTGATCCCATGAGCAGGAGATCGGGCCTCCCGGTTTGTAACCGCAACCACAATTACCACATCGCTCATCCAACCATTAGTGATGAACACCTGGAAAAAATGCAACTTGGAATAAAGCAGCGAGCTAGGTGGATGTAAGTTAGAAAGTATCATAAGCAGCAGAAAGACAAATTGCACTGACACTTTCATAGGGGAACTGAAAGGCAAGGTTTAAGTGTCAAGAGTTTTAAGCTTTAAGCTTTCTGAATTAAGTGTTTTGGAACAAAGTCTAAAGTAGGTTATTAGTCTGAGAAGTGTTGCGTGGGTCAGAAGAGTAAAGTTAAAAAACGCACAGATCTGTTTCTTTTGTCTGTCCCATAATAAAGAAGGAATATGGTACCAAATGCAGGAATTAAATAAACATAGAGGTCCTTTTTTCTATAACATGCAAAACTATCACTGGCTTCTTGTCACAACTGCTCACTATCATCCTGCAGACTGACTCATGAACCTGCCAGAGTGATCCATCTGAACTCCAGCTAAAGAAGTGAGCCATCTGTCCTGCTTGGGTTTAACTATGCAGCACGAGCAAGAATCCTGTTGAGCACCTGCACACGCATATTTGCTCGCACACATTCTCACCACTCAAAATTCTCTAGGGACAGAAGTTTCTATCAGCAGGAGTACAAGAGAAAAGGGAGAGAAAGGAGATTAAGACATTTTATAGCTTTAAAAAAAACCCCAAATTGTTGAACCCACATTTCCATTTGCACACTATTTCTGCCTTCTTGCTTTTCTACTGTGGCAATGAAAGATGTGGGTAACACTGCCAGCTTTGCAGCAGCTTGACAACACACACAGAGCATCTGCTGCAGTTTGGGTTTTTTTCTCCTAGCATGACCAGCAGGCTCCTGAAGTGTGGCAACACAAGTTTCTACTCATGCCACAGAAGATCTCTGAGTTGTTATAAATAAATATATGTATCTTTTGTTGTTCAACCTCAGTATCAAAAACCAGACCTGGTCCTGGTTACACTATGCAGGACTTCTTCTCTTTTACATTTTCTTCACAGTTTAATGAAAAATGGGCCTTTTGATAGGGTTATTTAAAAGCTACAAAAAGAACCTACTCATGCCCTTCCATAAACTGGTTCATAGATTGTTGGCAAAAGAAATACATTAAGTCCTGTAAGAAAAAGTAACTGTGAAAAAAAAACAACAAACAAACACAAAAGCAATCACAATACAACCCACCAAAACAATAAAAAAACAGAAAAGGACTAGAGGGAGATATTAACAGTGTACAACTTTCACTGTCTAAATGCATTAAGTTCCCAAAGCCTCTGAGTAGTATCTATGTCTGTTCACTTACCTTACTGCCATTAAGAATCCAGTCACTCCCATCCTTCTTTGCATATGTTCGTATTCCCTGCAAGTCACTAAAACAAAATTCAAAAGGTTCTTCAAGAAACCATTCCGGAAGCTGTGATTTGTATCTTGAATTCAACCCAGTACAAAATGAGGTAGATTTTATACTGTCTGGGCACGGGCTTAGTGAAAACGCATGCAAGGATAGTGAAACAGAGTAAAATAGCTGAGAGTAAAACACAGAAACCACAAACATGATGTGGAAAGAGATGATAAATCTATGCAATCGTACAACAGCACAAGGCCCCATTTTAATGTATGTGCTTGTGGAATGTGGTGTAATACAAGCACTGACACCAGTGGGTCAGCATCCCCTTACACCAATACGCCTTATATGACAAGTGCCAGAAAAAATCACATCCTCTAAGCAGCCTGAACCCTGACCAGAAGACTGTAAAAACCCACTGGCAACATCTACCATTTGTAAAAGCAGGACAGCATGGGCTTTGCTCTTCACTTGTCTCTCTCTGATTTGGAAACTGGCCAGATCAGCCGTGTATACTCCAAACATGTGCTGTCTGCCCTTCAATGATGGGCAAGGAGGGACATTTCTCCATTTGAAAGGATTCAGAGGAAAGAAAATAAGGTGTCCTGTTCCAAAACAAAGCTGACAGTAACATCAAGCCCGCTTTACTGAGGTACGTAATTTTCTCCTGGCTACATTTCACAGAATCACAGAATCGCTCGGTTGGAAAAGCCCTCTGAGATCATCACGTCCAACCGTTCCTGTCTACCCACTAAACCATATCCCTAAGTACCTCATCTACCCACTCCTTAAACACATCCAGGGATGGTGACTCCACCACCTCCCTGGGCAGCCTGTTCCAGCTTCTGACGACCCTCTCAGGAAAGAACTTCCTCCTTATCTCTGACCTGAACCTCCCTTGGCACAGCTTGGTGCCGTTTCCCCTTGTTCTATCCCCCATCACCTGGGAGCAGAGCCCAGCACCCACCTCTCCACAACCTCCCTTGAGGCAGTTGGAGGTGGTGATGAGGTCTCCCCTCAGCCTTCTCTTCTCCAGGCTAAACAAGCCCAGTTCCCTCAGCCGCTCCTCATCAGGCTTGTTCTCCAGAGCCCTCCCCATCCTTGTGGCTCTTCTCTGAACACGCTCCACAATCTCAACATCCTTCTTCTAGTGAGGGGCCCAGAACTGAACACAGCACTCGAGGTGCGGCTTCCCCAGTGCCGAGTACAGGGGGATGATCACCTCCCTGGCCCTGCTGGTCACACTGTTTTTAATACAGGCCAAGATGCCATTGGCTTTTCTGGCCACGTGGGCACAGTGCTGGCTCATGTTAAGCCGACTGTCAACCAACACATTTCATACTAGAAGTACGTTAACTTGACAAGCAAGTTAGTGACTATAAACTCAGACCACAAAACCAAATACAAAGCATGTTTGCCCACAGTGGGATGATACAGAAATGGATTCTGAGCAAGTACCTTGAAATGACAAAGCTGTAGAAGTAATCTGTAACACAGTTTTTGAGGTCCTACCTAATCTAAAATAGTCTAGTCACTAAAATGACCACATAGCCAGAAGGCTCAGAATTTTGTTCCCTGACAAATCAATAGCACATAATGTGAAGACCATTGTTCTTACCTGCCAGCCCCAGGTTCTGTCATGGCAATAGCTCCAATACACTTGCCTGCAACCATTTTAGGGATAAAGTGTTTAATCTGTTCTTCAGAGCCGTAGTTTGCAATGTAAGGCATGACGATATCTGAATGAAGGCTGAAGCCTGGGCCTGTACAGTTAACATACATCCTTGGGGAGTGGGGAAAAAAAAAACACTCAGAAAAAAGTGCTACAAAGACACAAACATTGAACTTCACACCGTTACAATGTAGACCCAACAATGAAGAAAGCCTCACTACACAGAAGTCTCAGACAATCCGAGCTTGTGGCACTTGTACTGTTATTTACAGAATGTACTTTCACAGCCAAATGGGTATAATATAATCTACCAGACTAACAAAAATGCTTCCCCCAGCCACAATGTCCTAACAGCGGAGCACAAGGACATTTACTACTTAAACAATCATCTGGAACACTTAAACCAGGAGGGATTTATATATGTCTAAACTAGACTTTCCATGAGAAAATAACACCATTTTCTGGAAGCAAACGTATTCCATAATAAAGACACGTTATGGAAGAAAAAATACAGGCTCTTGATAACATCACCGAAATTCTCCCTGAAGCACCTAATACTTACTGCTCCTCCCAGACCACAGCTGAAGAGAGAATATCTGCTCCGATGCCTCCGTGTTTTTCAGCGATGGCAACGCCCAGCAAACCCTGCTGTCCTGCCTTTTCCCAGACCTCCCTGCTCACCTGGCCGTCCTTCTCCCATCTGCAAAATGAACACAAGAGCGGAGTCACACATCAAACCCCCCATGTGCCACTGTTAATCTGCCACGGCTGCTGCTTCACACTGGAACACTCGCAGCCACGTTTCACTGCATAGGAAGACTTTCAGTCTCACCAACAGACAACATGTAGGGTACATAGGCAACTATATTTTACACTTAAGTGGTTTAATAATAGCTTTTCTAGTCTTCAAGTCCACTGGCACTGGCACTATAGGGGTACCTATTCGTATAACAAATCTGAAGTCCTGCTATCAACATATAACCGACATCTCTTGAAGACTTGTTATGAAGAGGAGCGCTGCCTATTGGTCTGAGCACCAGACTGGTATTTAGGAGATTTAGCCACAACCATCTGGACAATTACAAGCAGGTCTTTATCTTCCCGACATTTCATTTTCCCCACGTACAAAATGAGTAGGACACAACAGTATCTTTTGTGAAAGATTTCAACTCTACCAGCAGTGAGAACTGCTTTGTAAGAACCAAGTGTTAACACATCAGTCACTTTTCCATAAGTCAGTAACCGTATCTTGGCAAAATAACTGCTTTAAGGTGGTTTCAAGTTTGCCAATAGATAGGTGAGGTTTATCTGTGGACAGTTTGTAAACTTTAACACTACAGGAATCACTTATTCTTGGAAAAATAGTGCATCTTTATGGAGCTTGCCAACTCAACAGAAAGTTTAAAGGCCATTAACGGCCCAGCTTTTTTTAAATGTCTTAAAAAAGTAAATTTAAAAACAGATTCACAGATTATATCAGAGACACTCCACTGACACTTGCAAGTTGCAGAGCTTTGTCACAGCACTTTATCCATAGTTAATCAAGTATCCTATCCTACATATTTAAGCTCATTCCCAGAGCTTTTGCTCCTACACTGGGAATCTTAAACTAATCTCTCCCATGGTCATTTCTGCTTCCTCCCCCACCCACCTTTCAGGACCATTCCAGTCTCTATTTAACCATCACCAAAGCTTCTCCGCCTCACAATAATCCACAACTGATGCCACAATCGCCTCTTCACATCAGCCCAGCCCATCAATACACTACGTGTGATGGCTCCTTGTTGACTTGCAAGGTGCGAGAACAGAATGGTTCATAGGTCACTGGAGTGATGCAAGAACACAAGTCCAACTTGTTCCAGTTTCTCTAGGAAATCGTTGTGTCAGCAAGCTACCAAACAGGATCCTGAGTAACCTCAAGCAGAGCAAATACCTGTTCAGACCCGCACTAGAAGTCATTCCAACAAAAAATGAGAGAAAACATCTGTTTCTGTGGACAGAATATGATTGTACAGTGGAAAAAGGTACTGCTTTGAGGTCTTGGTTTGAGGATGAAAAATGTAGTTGGCAACAGCCCTGACGTAAGAAAGCTGTTTCCATTGCCTCCTGATGTTTGTTTCTGCCACACAGCCACAACACCCCACCCACACAACTGTGCCACCTCAACTGTGTGCGCACACACAGAGCGAGCTGCATCAGGAAACTCACTGTGCAGAAGCCCTTCAGCCTCCCCGCTGTTTTTGCAGGAATGTTTTTCAATTAGAAATTACTTAAGACACCACTGCAGTTTAACACTTTCTGTTCAAAAACCTGTTCTGAGTTAATTTATTTTCTTTCCCCATAACGTGATTGGATATTGCAAAAACAAGGGCAAAAGACACCCTCCCAGTTCTGTTCAATGGAAGTGCAACACTTCTGCTCTTGCAGACGACCACACATTTCCACAGAAGCAAAAAAGACAGAAATTTAAACAAAGATATTTAGTGCAAGTTCCCTGGTAATACGTAGTCCATCTTACTATCCTACATCTATTGTACATACAAAATCTGCTGCAGTGTAACATAGACACAAAGTCAATGCTTTTTCAGATGGCAGCAGTACAACAGCGTGCAAACTGAACTGTCTCCCTAACTCTACACCAAAGACATCAGTGTCAGATAATACCTGGCAATAGTTTCTCTGCAAACTGCCTCATAGGCCTAAGAGAAGGATGCTAAATTGCCCACACTGGAGCTCAAAGAATGCAGTGAAGTTTTATCAAGTGTGATTTATTTCTTTTTCACATATGATTTTCATAGCCAGTTTTGTTTTAATTGAGTGGATTTGAAACAGCTTGTAAATGGAAACAAATACCCTGTTTGTCCTGTCGTGTTAAGGGTTAACACCGCAAAAAGCGTTTTTGAGGAAAAAACCGCGTTCTGGCAAACCAGAATGTTTAAGTGGTATCTTACTCTGCGTGGAAAGGCAGCACTTCTTCCTGAAAGAACTTCCTGGCACTCTCTCTGAAGATATCATGATCTGACGAGAAGATCCTCCGAGTGCCTATATCAATCAAGCTTTTAGCAGAAGATGGTTCTGGGCGCTTTGTGCCATGCTGTTCAGTTTGCAGAGGACTGAAAAAGACAAGTGAAAGCATCTGTTAGGACACAGGCACCCCCGTTTACACAGCCCTTTTAAAAGAAAGGGAACGCCTGTGTTGATAAACATACTTCACATCGCAAGTCTAGCGCACTGTTGTGTCCAAAGGAAACCCATGACAAATATAAAGACCTAACACACAGTGTATTTCACCGTGAAAGGAGGTAAAGCAAGACTGCTTTGTCCTTAACGCCTCAAAAAAAAACCCCAAACATACATAGATAAGAACATAAAGTTTCTTTTAATTTGATACGCTAAAAATTATCACTGCCTTCTCCTCGAGCCACACAGCCTCCACAATGCAATTCAGCTCAATTTAACCTGAGGAGGGAACTTTTTTGAACAAGTGAACTTTTTTGTGGGGTTTGTTCATTCTGTACATGCTCCCGAAAGTCCCAAAACTGCAAATCCACAACCCTGGAAATCCACATACTTAAAATAACAGCGAGTACAACATGGATTTGCACACTCTGAGGGCTGTATTATACTCTGCATTAGCACATGTATCTCCACAGTTCAAACCTTGAAAATGTTTTCTAATTCCTTCTAACTTCCAGTATTTTTGTTGTACAGGAAAGCTAATCCTCCTAAAACTCTGATAAAAACATATTTAAAAATAAAATGCTTCTTTAACAAAAACTAAGAACTGAAACAGAGGTGTCAGTTGTTGAAACCACACCAGGAAACTACAATTACAAAATAACAAGGAAGGGTTTAGAGGAAAGCCTTAAAGTAGGGGTTTAAAATGTCAAGAAAGACATCTTACTTTAGGGCTGAAATGAATAATTAACTTCTTATGTGAATTATGTGAATTTCACTTGCTTTCGCTTTATTGCCACAAACCATCAGGAATTACAAATACAGAGCTGAGCTGTATCAAATCAAAAAGGCAGCTGCTGCTCCTTTCTCAAACTATTTCGTTCACCTCTCCTCAGCTCCTCAGCACCCGTTTCCCAGCACAGCAGAGTAACCGCGTGTAGTCCTGCAAAGCTTGGTGGACCTGAGCCTACACTTACTCTGCTACCGAGATGAATGTCTTTATTTACTGCCACATGAACTTACTCATGCAAAGGATTAAATGGCCCTGAAACACAGACTCCATTTATTTCTTAGGGATATTTGGAAGCAATAAGCTACCGCAACTTGCTTGTTCAGTGTTTTGTATGCTCAAACGCAGGCTCCTCAAGCTAGGCACGTAGTGACCCTCCCCAAAACTCCACCATATTTTAAAAGTTGTTTAAAATGATACTGAGCTTTATTTAGGACCACAGTTTTGTTAACTGCAGCTCACAGCCCACACAGTGCACAGGGAAGGGCCGGGCTGCTCCTTCACGCCAACCGCAGCCCTAGGAGACACAACTCATGGGTCTGAGGTGGCGAGGGCACGCTCCTACATTTCTGCTCCCAAAAAACCCCTTCCCCAAGCCCAAGTGCCCCACTGCCACGGGCCCGCGGGTGACCGGGATGTCCGGGCAAGGACGCGTCCTGCCCATCACTTGCTGCCACCACGGGACTCGGTGTCACCCGGATGCGGACGGGAACTGGAGCAAAGGTCAGTCCTGTCACGGGGGCCCCAGGCCTGCCGGGCATCAGCCGCTCCCCCAGATCCCAGCTACCCCCTGCAACGGGGGCACAGGCGCACAAATATACACGCACCCTATGCATACACACACGTCTATACCTATAACCTTCCCGCCACACGCTCACACTCCTCCAAATGTATACACAGGCGCATACACACACTACTTGTATATACATGTGTACATACAGCATGTGCCACCCCAGAAACACGTACACAGCCATCCCCACGCAGATGGACAAATACATCCACTGCCCTTACGCGGGGGCACACGCCAACTCTCCTCACGGTGCGTCCCGGAGGGGCCTCCAGACACAGCCGCCCAGTTTCCCCCCCCACCCTACCGGCGCACACCCGCGACTCAAACCCCATCACGCCAGCGATGCCTACGAACGCCACCCCGCTAACCTGGCCTTGGTAGAGAAGGCCCGAGGACCAGCAACCCTTAACAACCCACTCAAGCGAAGCAGCCGTGTCGCCATCTTCAGCCGCGACCGGAGAGGACGGAGCGGAGCGGGGCGGGGCGGAGCGGAGCGGCATCGGCATTAAAGCCCGCGCCGGGGGCAGAGGGCGGTGTGTTCTTTGCTTCGTCACAGTGTCGCGTTATGTGGCTAGGTTGTGTTATTAATTTGTTGTTATCGTTTTCTTTCCGGGTCGTCTAGGGGGAGCTTCTCGTTTCTGTCTGCACTGCGCCTTGGGTGGCAAGCGGAGGAGTTTCTGCTGCCCAGAAACACAACACGCACCCCTCAGTCATTCCTGCCCACGCCATCCTTGAGTTATAAATCCTTTGCAATACAGTATGTTGAAACAGTATGTTGAAACATAATGTTCTATGTTGAAACGTCCTTATGAATTTTTTTAATGTAGTTTTGAAATCGCGTTACAGAGAGGAGCAGAACGATGGCGGCTCAGGCGCGGCGCAGCCGGGGAGGGCGGAGCGGCCGCCAGGAGGGAGGCGGTTGTGTACTCGGGGGGTGTTTATCCAGGAGGAAGGCGGTTGTGTACTCGGGGGTTGTTTATGTGCTTGCGCTGGGCGGGAGCCACTCCCAGCTTTGCCATGGCTTCTTCCTCCCTCCCCGGGTCGGCAGGCCGGCTTTTGGGGAGCTTGATGCTTCCCCCGGCCCTGGCGAGGGACCGAGGGGGGGCGAAGCCTGAGTTCCCCTCGCCTCAGGGCTGCTCCAGGCGATAGGCGGGAAGGCACCGCCGGGCCTTGGCAGCGCCCGTCTCAGGGCCCGTTTGGCCGATCCCTGGGAGAAAACTACCCCACGGCCTCCTGGGGCCGGTGGGTTTTAATTTTATTTTGAGTACTGCTTCCCCAAAGAAGGTGTTTTATGATTATTATGTGCATGGGCTTTCCAGAGGATGGAGAGAGCATTACCTTCTGGAAAAGAAAACCACTGGAGGTGGGGGAAAGAATAAAGATTTACCATTCTGCTCCTAGTTCTTCCTCCCCTTAGCTGGTGTGATGGCCCTGCTGGATAGTGCTCTCCTCAGTCAACCGTTTGGGAAAATTTTGAGCTGTAAATGGGCACCTTTCACTGAGAAAGGAGCTGCTACCTGCTTCCTTTACCAACAAGACCCTGAAATATCAACTGACTGGAAAGCAGATGTTACCAATTGTCGTCGTGATGAGAATTGGGTTAAAACAATATACAATCCACATCACAGAATCACAGAATCCCAGAACGTTAGGGATTGGAAGGGACCTCCAAAGCTCATCCAGTCCAATCCCCCTGCCGGAGCAGGAACACCCAGATGAGGTTGCACAGGAAGGCGTCCAGGCGGGTTTTGAATGTCTGCAGAGAAGGAGACTCCACAACCTCTCTGGGCAGCCTGGGCCAGTGCTCTGTCACCCTCACTGAGAAGAAGTTTCTTCTCAAATTGAAGTGGAACCTCCTGTGTTCCAGTTTGTGTCCATTACCCCTTGTCTTATCATTGTTTGTCACCGAGAAGAGCCTGGCTCCATCCTCGTGACACTCACCTTTTAAATATTTATAAACATGAATGAGGTCTCCCCTCATTCTCCTCTTCTGCAAACTAAAGAGACCCAGCCCCCCCAGCCGCTTCTCATAAGGGAGATGCTCCACTCCCTTAAACATCAATGAGATTTTAGATGCTTTCCTCACTCTTCATGTGGTGTTGGGGAACCTTCAGGCGTTCAACCTCCTGGAGTCGTGAGATGGCACAAAAATTGTAAGCAAAAAGTGAGTTTTGAGCCTTGATGTTTGTTCAGAAACAAAAAGCTGAGAAGCGAGATTATAACGGCTCAAAATGCAAAGCAGATCGGCCTAGACGATATTTTTCAAAATCTGGTAATTTTAAGACTAATAATTTTCTGCGATGTGAATTGTACATAATCTGTTGAGAGAATTCCCACAGTTTGGGTGTTTTTGCATATTAAGCCATAGTCTAAACCTGTTGAAATGGTTTTTTTAAAGAGATTTAAAAAAATACATTTAATCAGTCCCATTTTCAGCTGTAGTGTTCCTACACCCTAAGCCAGAAGATGGCACTACAGGAATAGCTAGTGCTAGAGATGGGCCTGCTGAAAGGAGTCTTGTCTCTCCAAGGCTGTATGTGTTTTCAGCAGTTGAGAGGAAAGAAGTAAAACAGACTTTGGTGGGAATTACTGAATCTGTGTGCCCAGAAGTAAGATTTGGGCATACCTACGAGGTCCCATCAGGTAAAGCCTCCTAGGAAGTGCCCTCCTTGGGCTGGCACAGGCTCCCAGGTTGGTGACGGGTCTGTTAGCAGGCAGGAGGCTGGCAGGGAGATTTGTATTCCTAGGGATGCCCTGGTTACCCAGGTTACAGTCTTGGCGGCTTTGTTGCAGCAAGAAGATCTGGCAGGACATACCCAAACACCCACCCACAGGGTAAAGTGATAAGGGAGCTGAGAGATTGTAGATCCTGCCCTAAACTGCAGAAAAGCAAACTTTGTCTGGGTATCAAGTATCAGTTCTTGGGACCAGGAAATGGCCCAGACAGACAGCAGTAAACAGACTGACATTTCTCATACCAGGCTTTTTTGAGGAAGGGTGGATGTAAAAATTTGGACATTGAGAACAATGGTTTTTTGTTTTGTGGGTTGTTTTTTTTTCCATGTGCTTGCAGAAAACAAAGTAGAAATAGATACTGCAGCAGGGCAGAGAGTGCAAATGCATTGTTGGCCTCCTTCTAGATGCTGCTTCCAGTTTGGGATTGTGCTTTCTTACAGCAGCCTAATGGGACTTTACAGGCACACAGCATAGCCAGGGTTACGTGACAGTGGTGTGCCCCTTCCTAGCACAGTTTGGTCCCTGCACCTCCATTCCTTGTGTGGGCATAGTCACAGGGTGAGCCTCTAATTCTGATTTTCCTCCTCTTTATGGTGATGCTCTCTGTTATGTTCTTCTCCCATACCAGCAAATGGACGGTCCATCCTTCCTGCCCTCTGGTACGGATGGCTCAGGAGAGGGATACGGGTTGCCTTATGTTACTGGGTGTAAATTCTCAGAGATTAGTGGCTGTCCTGCTCTCCCATTGTGGGGTTAGTGGTAGGTTTTTTCCTTCAGGTCTCCAGCTAGAGATCTCTGTGTTACACTGGTAAACACTGCATCCCCCAGTGACACTCAGAACTGGCACTATCCACCCCTCTTGTATTAGAAGTGTTGCCAGCGTTATGTAAATACACCACGTCAGTGGGCTCACGTACGGTGTGTTACTGCCCTGACCTGAGGATTCTGTGACATTTGGGCTTTGTTACAAGTTGGTTTGGTTGAACAGTCCCTTTTGAGTAGCCTGTTCATGTTTTTATGATTTCCATCATTAATAGATCGTTGCTACAGCTCGAAAGGACCTGTATTCTCTGCAGGGCCTGCTTTGTGGGGAGCAATGTCTAATGTCATTGGCTTTCTCAAGATTTTGTGCTGTCCACCTTCCTTGTTCTTCTTTTGACATGCTCCTCATTGCCCAGTTTCACTTGTGAGACCATGAAGAGGCCAAGTGAGCTTCACCAGATATTTGTGAGGTTGGACAGGAGCTGAATTCCCTCGGAGCTGTGCCCCTGGCTGCAGTTTGCACTGTGACATTTCTCTGTGCCCTTCATACAGCAGAAGACCGTACACACTTAAGGGAATAAACTCGTGTGTAAACTGAGGAGACACAGTAAAAATGCACTTGTCTGTTTAAAAGTATAATGACAAATGATAATTATCATTGCTGTTTCTTTTAACCAGCATGAACGATCCCCTTCAAATACTTTATGCTACTGAGGAAATATGCACATGCGTTTTCATTGTTTTTATCAATCTTCCTCATTCACTTCTTAGTGCAAGGCCTTTCCCAGGGATTGGCAATGGCCTTTCTTTTACAACAAACAGTTTGATTTAGTAGTGCTGTTACCCACCATTCCTACATCGGTGGAGAAATGAAATGTTTATGGACTAATCTATGTCATCTTCCCAAGCCATGTATTTTGGTAATGGAAAGTTCAGTTTAATGCTCTAATAAACTGGTCTGATATGTACTGTGCCAGTTCATCTAGAAGGTAGATGTGAGAGTGAAATTTTATATCTTCAGCAATGTTTCAGACTTCATATTGAAGTGCCTGGGTAAATGAGAAAGTATTTCATTTTTCATTATAAAATAAATGAGAAATAATAGGTTACTAAGGAAGCATCTTTTCTTCATTACTGTGCTGGTTTTGCTGGGATACAATTATAGAATCAATTTTCTATTCGGGAAAGCTGCCTTTCTTTGAAGACAGCACTCAATGTAGTGGAAACAAAGTTGATAAGACATTTTGGTTTAGTTTTCGGCCAATGCTGGTATGCAGTGATCAAGATCTTTACCAGTTTTGAGTTAGCTAGGTGCAGAAGCTAGGAGAAGCGAAAGCCAGGGCAGTATGACCCAAGCTGACCAGCAGAATTATTCCATACCAGTGGCAGGACCAGAGGCCCTGGGTACACACTGCAACACAGGAGTATCCCTCTGAACATGCAAGGCTTTCTCCCTGTGACTGAACACTGACACAGGTTACCCAGGGAGGCTGTGGAGTCTCCATCCTTGGAGATACTCAGACGCCATCGGGACGTGGTCCTGGGCCACTGGCTGTGGGTCACCCAGCTTGAGCAGGGGGGTTGGACCCCATGACCTCTGGAGGTCCCTTCCAACTTCAGCCAGTCTGTGATTCTGCGATTCACTCGTGGCTTCCATCACCATGTGCCCTGGGCTGCATCCCTCCTCTTGCTACTGCCTTACTGCTTTAGGCCTACTCCTAGCACAAAACCAGTGAAAAATAATTAACCCAAAGGCTGCTGCTTCTCTGCAGACCAAGCCCAATGTGGAAGACAGAAGATGGGAAAAAAATGAAGACAGAAAATTGCTGGCACTAAATGATACGTCAAATAAATTCAGTTTCCCCTCTTATGCATTCAGGGCTTGTTTAAGTTTTCCTGTAGACTGCAGATGCAGAAGAAGCAATTTAGATTGAGGAGATTAAT